TAGCAGGTCAATGATCAAGAGGCAGACCCTCAAGGAGATGGACGGACACAGCGGCTGCAACAACGAGCTCACAGCTAACAACCACTGTAAGAGTGGTGCGGGGCCAGACAGTGCTTTGTCCTGTGGAACACAGGGTGGGGGTGAGTCTGAACGCCACAACACCTAACAACACAACAAAACAAGCCTTTGACGAAGATCAGAGATGAACTCTTCCTAACGGTTGTGACTTCCATAGAAAGCTGACTTAAAGATAGATGAGGAAGGGAACTCATTGGTAATCCGGGGACTTCCTGCACTTGGAACCTAGGTTTACGATTAATACTTTCCATTTTGACAGTGAAGCCATTGACCTCACTGGGCCACTAGACAGAATCTCTCTGGATACCTAGATCGGATCTTAGAGAATCTAGTTAATTCATGCCCCGACTTGTCTCAAATAGAAAGTGAAACACGAATTCGCTGTCATTGAGTCGATTCTGACTCCCAGCTACCCCCTAGGCCAGCGTAGATGGCCCCTGTGGGTTTCCGAGACTCTAACTCTGTATGGGAGCAGCTGATTTCAAACTGCTGACCTTGCATGATGGTAGCACAGTGTGTTATGCTTTGGGCTACAAACTGCAAGGTCATCAGTTTGAAACCACCAGCTGCTTCTCAGGGAAAAGATAAGGCTTTTGACTTTGGGGAAGAATTAGTTTCTGAAACCCACACAGGCAGTTCCACCCTGTCGCACAGGGTCACGATGAGTCTGCATTGACTCGATGGCAGTGAGGACCTGTGGTGCACAGCTCAATTCAACACCCACGATGTCACCAGGGGTCCTGGTTCAGAGAGGGAAAGCAAATATGCATTCGTTCTCTCTCTATATATATATTCTCCGTGGGCTTACTACGTGCCTCAGTGCTTTCGTGTTGATTCTGACCCACAGCAACCGCACAGGATAGAGTAGGACCGCCCCTGAGTGTCTGGGCCTGTAAATCTTTACGGAAGTGAAAGCCTCATTTCCTCCCTGGAGCAGTTAGCTGATTAGCCACGGTTCTACTCTCATGAAGCCAATGTACCTGGAAAGGACCCTAGGTAATTCCTGAGCAATAAGGTCCACTCCCCGGAAGGATTTAGAAACGGAAGGAAAGGACAGGACATAGTGGTTAGGAGTGGAGGGTTAGTTCAGATGAAGGTCCTCTAGGAAGACCTCTCCGAGGAAGTAATGACTGAGCTGACACCTAGAAAGAGAGTCGGCCAAGAGAGGATCTGAACGGGCGTCCGGCAGGCACTCCAGCAAATACCATACCTTGAACTGAGGACAAGTGATTAGAACAGCACAGTGGAGACAGGTCTCTTGTTTTCTCCACATGGAGATGCGTGTGCCTCCATGTCCTTAGTCATCGTGTTCTCCGGTATGTGCTGTTTGCAAAGGAGGCCTGGTGGTGTCATGGCTAAGAGCTTGACTGTTAACCCAAAGGTTGGTAGTTCTAACCTAACCAGCCGCTCAGGAGAAAGCCATGACTGTCTGCTCCCATACAGATTACAGCCTAGAAAACCCTCGGGGGAGGTTGCATGCACTCTGTCACATGGAGTCACTAGACTCAAAATTTGAGAGGATCTAAGAACAAATGGAGCCCTGTTGCCACAGTGGATTTCCAGTAGGGGTGCTAGGTCAGTAGTTTGAAACCACCAGCCACTCCATAGGAGGAAGACAGGGCTTTCTACTCCCCTAAAGAGTTACAGTTTCAGAAACTCTCAGGGGCAGTTCTACCCTGTCCTATAGGGTTGCTAAGGGTCGGAATTGACTTGATGGCAGTGAGTCTGAATGATAACATGTGCTGTTTGATTTTAAAAAATCAAATATGGCATTGCTCTGAAGTCAGACAGTTATAGGTTCAAATTCCAGCCAATCCCTCAGAATGACTACAAACTCTACCACTCATTTACTGACCAGCGACAAGTTAGTCACCATCTCTGTGGGGCATCTGGGAAAACGGGTTCACCTCTTGTTTCCTGGGGCTGTAGTGAAAGGTCAAGCCCCAGTATTGTTACAGCAAACACTCAGTAAACAGCAGGCCTCCTCTGAATAGGGCAGGGGCCGGTCATCATGCTTCTAACAGCGTTGGTTCCCAGGCTGCATCACTGGTCCTGGGGAAAAGTGCAGCCAGAATGGGTCAGGGAGAAAACATCTGAACTCAAATCCACTGCGGTCGGGTCAACGCCAACACAGAGCATCCCTACAGAACAAAGTAGAACTGATTCTTAGGGTTCCCTAGACTGTAGCTCTGGATGGGGACAGACAGCCTTGGCTTTCTTCTAGGGAGCAGCTGGTGGGTTTGAATCACTGACCTTATGGTTAGCAGCCCAGTATTTAAAACACTGCACTATCAGGATATCATTCTAACCTAGAGCAACAGATATAAAATTAACTAAAAAATTTAACCTAGAGCAATAAATATAAAACACACCAAGCTGAGTAGGATGTGCCACCCCCCACCCCCTCCACCCCCCCCACACACACCATGAGTCCACATGCAAACCTTCACAGAAACGTCCAGGGGAGAGACTTTGGCCATCAACTCTCTCTGTTGTGCAGGTCAACAGACAATGTCCTGACGTGGTCTAATGCTAGACCTTGAAATGCATACAAAGGTCAATGACTCTACATCTTGATATGAAAATATGAAACCCATTTGAATGTTCAAAGAGCTGAGGGCTCCACCAAGGGCAAAGGAAAGCCTGGGGAACTTCCAGCGCTCTGCTGCCTCCTGACCCCGGCCAGTCGTCACTGCTCTTTGAAACCCTGCGAGCAGCACCCAGCTCCCTTGCATTACAAGGCTGTCTGAAAGAAGTTGATGATCCCAGGCAAGTTGACCCAGGGCTAAACGGCTCCCTTGTTTGAATTTCTCTCTTTGACAGTGGCATTTTCAAGGACAACTCACAGATGCTATCTGATGTGGGCTTTAAGAACTTTCTGGAATATTAAACTCTGGAAATAATATTCCTAGTTCCCATGCCGACTAGGACAGAAAATTATAAATCGCAGGGATAGCTGCAGAGTGAGGGCGAGGAGATGCCACAAACAGCACACATCAAATCGGTGCTGTAAATCTGGATGGGAACCCAGAGTGACGTTTTGCTTGGGCTTAGGAATCAAGCGTATCCCTTTAGTTTCGAAGCAACCTCTGAAGTCTGGCCAAATGATTAAGTATGGATAATCTCTCCCCGCGGTCCCCTGGCCCACCCCACCCTCTGAAGTGGATTGTACTTGGCTTTCAAACAACACAGCACAGGATTGACGGGATAAGATTCCTAAGACCAGCGAGCATCCGTTTGAGAACCAGCATTCTGTGTCTGAGTCGGAAGGCGGCTGAGGTCTGGTTAGTCATCCTGGAAACGCCGGCTTCGCGGCCGCAGCTCCGCGCGCAGGAGTCTGAGCGGCGAGGGAGGCCTTGGCAAGGCGAGCTGTTTACGTTGCACTCAGCACGCCCCCTTGCACACCCCGCACACAACCGCTTCGCCAGCGGCGTCTCCATTATTAATTGGGTAGACCCTGAGGCCGGCCTCTACCTCATTCCTGGCAACACCGAGGGAGATTATGGACGTTTACACACACACACACACACACACACACACACACACACACACACTTTGAGGAGAGTCAAGATCTAGCCTCACTGAATGCTCATCTTCTACTTTCCATTCTCAGCTAATGGGATGTAGGGGTACAGACCCGAGCTCGGTCCAAGGGTCTTTCTCGTCTGCACCTCGCTTCTAGCGAGGTAACCCCCAAACTAGAGCTTCCCACCCCCCGAAGTCCCCAACCAGGTCCCGTTGCCCCGCGGCTGTGCAGCCTCACCAGCTGCTACGGGGTCCCCTCGGCCACCTCCCCGGCGACGGTCCGTGCACGGCGGCCTCGCCGACTTCAACGGGCAGGACGACGGGCCGAGACCTGGAGCTCCTTCCCGCCCGCGCACCGGCGGCCCTTCCTTCGCTCCCTTTCCCGGCGCCGAGCGAGCGAGCCCCACAGTCTTTCTCAACAAAGGGAGAGACAGGGGCGCGTTGCCAACAGCTACGGGCCGGCTCCTTGGCAGACCTGGCAAACTTGCCAGGAGATGAGTTGAGAAAGTCGCCTCCTCCACCCCCGGCGCCTGCCGCGGCGCGCGGGGCAGAGCGGCTCCCCCGGGAGGGCGGCGGGCGG